AACTATCTAACAAATATAGATTAAATTACTCTTCCAAACAATGTGATGATGTTGCTCAAGAACATGATTCTGAACGATGTTCTGGTTGCAGTTGGTGATCGTTTGCTCTTTCCTTTGAATCATTTTCTTCTCTGCGATAGTACTATTTGGTATTCTATGACTATTTCTATGAAAATATTTTTGTACTAGTTTTACGCTCGCATTTTTCATATTGATGTAAAGCTGCTTCGAATCAAAAGAACAGATAAAGAGTGATCCCGTTATAAATCTGCTATAACTGCGAAGTGTCTTGTTAGATAATCTCAGAGCAGCTACAACTTTAACCTGACGTCTTAATCACGAATATTAAGATGGAAACTGTTTAAAATATCGATACAGTACCGCTTCGATGATGAGCGTAAAACAAAACAATACAAAAGTACAGAAAAGAAATATCATAGAATGGTGAGTTTTTTCATAATTTCTTTGTAACGCATCGCACTTTTCAGAACTTCCTGTCCGTTACAGGAGCTGTGGCTTTGACTGGAAAGAACATTTGAAAGTTAGCACTGAAAAATCAGTGGTGTTTAGTAGTACTGGTAATTCTATTGCACACGTATAGAAGTATTTGTAGTGCTACTGCATACGTATTTTTACATTTATAGCAGTATGTTTAGTACTACTCCATCATGATGTTTATTTCCATTTATGAGGAGTGCTCTGACGTCCGATTCAATCGGTTACCACAGTTTATACCGCCTATGGCGGCCAAGGAATAAGATATCGAGTGGAAATTCTAACACTATGTGTTTACATCTTAAAAAGAAAGAAAAGTTAGGATTTATTTATGTGGAATTGGTACTATTTATATTTCGATTTCTGTAATATTGACATGCGTGCATATCTATACTTATAAAAGCATCTCGCGATCTGTTTGTGTTGCTACTTGTGGCTTGAAGGTTGACTTAGGATTGAAAACAAAACAGTGTGCGTTTTCCATCAATTTTAAGCATTGATTACGTAGAAAAACGCTCCACGACACATCTGAATAGAAAAGGCAAGACTGACAAATAAAAAACGGAAACACGCACTAGAGCAGTAACTAAACTGCACTGGCTGCTTCTGTACGAATAGAAATGACCACTGTTATCTTCAGTGGCGAGTGAAGTGATGATATCAAACGAGTCATGTTCACTCAGTCTCTTCTCTTCCCCGACGGATTTATTTTCAATATCGTCCAAGTACAAGACAATAGAAAGAAGCGGTTCTAAATGACCTCTACCAGTTCACACTGTTCATGGGTTGTTCATACTGGTCCAATCATCGATAACGAAACCTTGAGTTCCTTTCTACTATACATATAATACAAGATAACGCTCGTCCGCGCTGGCTCAGCCCCCTGACTTTAGAAACTTATATTTGCGAACGACCTTACATGACTTTGAATCGAATACAACGCTCACATCTCCCTTCGATCGATGTTCGTTAGCGGACCATCTACAATATGATATCTCTCTGATTTTATGTGTAAGCTTCGTAATCTAATATAAATCTAAAAAGTTTGCTGTAGGTTCTCAGGTTCACAGAGGTGTAAAACTCCTTGTAAAACACCAGACAGAGAATGAACTGAAAGTTACGTTGATGTGAACTCTATGAATGTAGAGAAAAACAAGATCAACGTTGCTTCAGTGTAAAACAGATCAACACTTGAGATCCCTAAACAGGCATGTAGATATAAATTTTTTAGCGAACATATATGGGATTCTATGTAACTTTTAATGCTCTTTACGGCAAGGGTGTTAAAATTTTTGCACTTGCTATGTCTGTATAAATTGGGCGGACCTGAATCGATCTACCCGAATATAAAGCTAAAAAGTTTCCTGGACACCCCTGAAGATCCTAAGGGACGCTGCAAGTATTTCTGATCGATTCGCCATAATAGACTAGCTATATTCTGAAAGTTTTATTATTCATGGATGACTTTTTTTGTGCTAGCAAAATAAACTGATTTCTGGCGACGTCTATCTCCCAACTACAGAAATGTTTGTTTAGTTTTTTTGCTCTCTGCTTTAGTAATTATTTTTTCAGTCATCTCTTTGAATATTTTCTCTATTGTGTTAAAAATAATTTTCTACTTTTCTCTCTTGTGATTCGCTTATCCATAGAATATCTGACAGCCAGTTTTCCGTATTTTGCGCACAGACACACAGACAGACAATCATTTTGTAAGACCCTAGACTAAAGTCAAGAGAATATACGATAGACGTCAGGGCACGGTAGAACTACAGGTTGAGCTTGAGTGAGTGAACTAATGTGATGTGGAAGGGAAGAGGGTGCGAGAATCGTTTACAGTTAGTCTGGTCACTGTGAATGAGTTGTAGTCTGCTGATGAAAGTGTCGATGTGTATTTTGTTCTTCGATATACTCCTGATAGTGGTTGTCCGACTCATAAAGCGGATGCGTCATTTTTAGTTCTCCGAGTTGCGATTGGGAAAAACGAGAATGGGAGAGAACTGCTGTTTGCAAAAGGTATAATCGAAGGTCAGCATCAGTGTTTAGAAAGGGAGAAATTCTGTTTTGATGTGTGCTTATTGATTTGATTTGATTGTCTTTCTTAAATGATTTAGCTTTACTTTGGTACTAAATAGTTTGTTTTTGAATAATTGTTTATTTATTTATTTTATTATTTCTGTAAATGAAGACTTTTTCATCTCATTTGTTTTATTAACAGCATAGATAAACTTTGATCATCGAAGCAGTTCACATTTATGGCAAGAATAACTTTTATTCTTCCGTTGACTAGTTTATTTTTTATCTTATTTTATACTTTTAAGCGATGCATCATATTTGTTGCAATCTTACGAAGGTCAAGTAGCTCGCCTCTAATCTTAGGTAGAAGTTACAGAAGAAAACTTCGACAGTAATGAAGTAAACATTTGTATGTAAGTAATTCGTAGTATGTATATCAATTGAAGTTTCTGTGTTTTATAGTAGGGAGGCCCTACTCTTTAGTTTCTATAGCTGACGACGATGGCACACTGTCAGAGCTAACATTATTCTTTACGACATACAGTAAGCAGAACATAAGTGTTTGCTCGTGTTTTGCTCTTTTCCAGGATTCAAAATTGTTTTTTGGTAAGTGAGGTGGTAATAAAAGAAAAATTTTAGCAGATTTATTAAGTGAAATGAATTGTCTTCCTTTTACCGTAAGGATGCCTACGTATTTCGAATCCGCTATTGTCTTTAGACTATTCACCTTCGGGAGTGATACACGGGAAAAAGGTTTTCTTTTCATCTTGTCGAAAACGGAAACCATGACAAAAATGTTTCTTTTATAGATATGCCCATATTTGGTGCAACTGTCGCCAGAACAGCTACAAAATACGTTACGGTAAGCAGAAAAATATAAGTTATTGTCTTCTCTGATATTGACGGGTATTTTATATTTCATTTCGTTTAGAAATATGATTCAAATAAAGATCGTGTTGCATTCAGTGCTGCGTTAGTAATGTCTTTAGTTGGTCTTGGTGTATCTGTGTATAGTACCAATAAATTATTAACAGCATCATATGCCACCAAAAACTTTTTGACAAAACTAGAATAATTAACTTTTCATGTAGCATCATCCTCTTTTTTTTACGTACAACGTAGACTATTTTTTCTTCATAGGCGATTAATGGAAGATATTTTTAGTAGAGAAAAAAATTAGTTTTGATATTTTGGTTGTTTTTTTTCTATTAAAATGAAAAATAAAATGAAATATTTCTAAGAATGATCCTGCAGTACTCCGCAAAAGTAGTGACCCTCCTGTAACCCAAGAATCATGATAGTGACGGACTTCTAATTTTGCGTGGTCATAGCTCTCACAAAATGCTGATAACTCATGATCCAAGAGAGATGAAACTTTTTTCTTTTCACCAAAATGTGGTCCTGATTCCCCTCTATCTACAACATCAATTTAAAGAGGTAGCTATTAATGGTTACTGAAAGACGGCTATTTTACGATCCAGATCCTGAGATATGAGGGCCTTACCGAAAAAAATTCATAACTCATTCTAGAAACATCATTTTGGCTTCAAATTCGCAGCAAACACTCTTGGACAACTGTAGAAACTATCCAGTCAAAGTATGAAGGTTAACTGTTGTGTATTTCCTAAAATGTATTGAGAACGATCACTCACCATTGAAACATACGTAAAGGGGCGAGGATGAGGAAATAAGAGTCGCTCTTTCTACTGTAGAATCTACATTCAACGTACATCATAATCATGAAAAAATATGACCATGAAAATCCATGAGGAGGAGAAACGCAGATGAAGCTTTTTCAGGAAGACTACATACGCACTTTTCATCCTCGCCATTTCATTTTAATTGTGTGCCCTTCTCACCTCTCATAAATTCATCTTACAAAGAGAGAAAGTTTTCAATAAAAGTTCTAGTTCGAAAAATTAATTTCAAGAATGTCATTCAAGCTAGTTTCGTCTGCTGATCTCAAATATGTCATTAATTTTGCTTGGAAATTTATGAGAGGTGAAAAGGGCATAATTAAAGTGAAATGGCGAGGGTGAGAAGTACGTGAGTATTCTTCCTGACAAAGCTTTATCTGCGTTTATCCTCATAGACTCCTTATAGTCATCTTTTTTCATAATTATGATGTACGTTGAATGCAGATTCTACCATACAAAATTAGAAGTCCGTAACTATCACGGTTCTTGGCTTACAGGAATATCACTACTTTTACGGAGTACTGTACAATGACTACAATGACTCCTATTTTAGATTATTCATGATCAGACTAAAGTGATTGATCATTTTTAACAAAAGCAGATTGTAATTTCAAAGGACATTGAAACTTCTTTTGTAGTGTTGTAAAATTTAGAGAATAACTTGTTACTGAGTTCGATTATTATAGATGAAACCGAAACTAGCTCCGATACAAAAAGAAAAAGAAAAAACTTTAAGAAAAGAGTATGTATGCTCTTTTTATCTCTGTATTATTTCTAAGGGATCTGTTCAATTTTAGTAAAATAACAAAAAGTTTCAATCAAAAACTTCGTGATGATTATCTAACAAGAAAAGAGCAACAACAGGCTGAAAAACAAGTATGTGTACTGACGTTGTACGATTAAGACGAGAACACTAGATTTTCTGTTTTTGTTTCAGGCGAATATTGAACGTAAAAAAGATATTGAACAATCTCTCAAACAATATAAGAAAACGAAACAAAATAAATATAAAAAAATAGCAAAACGTACCAAATCTGGTCAACCATTAATGAAAGGACAAATGGAATTATTATTAGAAAAAATACAAAAATCGAAAGAATGATTTCTGTTTTTTGTCGATATTTTGTTTTTCTTATACAAATGTTAAGGATATAGTTCTTACAGATATCTATCAAATAGTCCAATATTCAGAATACCTTAGAAAACAATTGTTAATTCAAGAATATCTCTATTCCAAAAAAATTGTGACATTATGACATCAAACGGCTAAACATCTTTATGTTAATCATATATAAACGATTTCCATCTATATTTCATATTTTTTCAAACTATTTTCTTAGCAGCATTGACGGACGGTTGTGGTGCGCTAAAAAGTTTAGAATTGTTTAAAATTAGACTGATAAAAAAGTAGTAGGAAAGAAGAAAGGAAATGACCTATTTTTTGAAAACAAGAGTGGCATAATAAAGGGGAAAATACAATATACCGATTCTAAGACGTAATGTCTGTTGATCTGACTACCGATGGATGAACATGGCGGTAGTTATGAGTGTGTTGGAGTCATAGCGTCTTATCTTAAAAATCTTAGTAAAAAAGAAGAAAAAGGTCAAGAAGTACCCTACTGTTGTCTAGAATTAATGGAATAATAACACTTTATACAGCGAAAATTAATGCATTATGGTTTTTTATTTAAATCAACTGTAAGACTGACTTGAGTTTTTGATCTTAGTTAGACAGGAAAATCAAAGAATGTTTCACAAAAAATCTATATGATTTTGCGACTCATTATTTAAACGCATTATGCTAATTAAGATACACTAACTGTACACAAAATTTCTTTTTTGTTGATTGTTATTGTTTTCGATTGGAAAGAGAGTCTATTGATTTATCTGGTATTCTCATAGAGAAACATCTACCGTCTCTCAAAAGTTGATGTTGATAGTATACTGAATGACAAAGTGGTTTAGAATGTTAGACTCTATCACATCTGTAAAAATGAAGTTAGCAATCTAAGGTTAGGCTGCTCTAACAGTGTTATTTGAAAGCATCCAGTAGAAAGAGAAATAGAAAAGATAGAGTATAAAACTGCTACAAAATGCATAACTTTAGATACTATTTACTTTGATAATTTTTGAGCTTTTGATGACTACTGTTATCATCACCAGGAAAACATATGACAAGAAAAATTTACTGTTGTATATATAGAGAAAAAAGAATTATTTGTAAATGGGACTAGAACGAAAACGAAGGAGAGAGAACAGATATTCGTAAATATCTGTTCTGTTTACGAGAAATTTCTTAATTGACGTGAAAGATAAATTGAAAATGTTTAGCTAATATATCATATGCCCTTTATTAAGGGTTATTTTTCGGGCTCTAACTATGTTTTCTCTCCTTTTTCGTTCTAGTCCCATTTACAAATAATTCTTTTTTCTCTATATATACAATAGTCAATTTTTCTTGTCATATGTTTTCCTGGTGATGATAACACTAGTCATCAGTAGTCGTTAAGGCCAAAAATTATCAAAGTAAATAGTGTCTAAAGTTATGCATTTTGTAGCAGTTTTATAATCTATACATATTTAGTGTGATTTGTGTTAAAGTATTTTTGTAGTTAAAGTAGTTTGTATATTAATACTATATTACTACATTCCATAGTCTTCAGATAAGAATCTCCTTATAAATTATAAAAGGTAGTTGGAAAAAAAGAATGAAATTAGACTATCATATTTATCAGATAGGTTGGAAGATCACAAGGTTGCTATAAAAGCGTGTCAATTTAAGACATACAAAGTGTTTTCAGTTGAGAACTCACAAAATTTTCAAAAAAAATATCTTTTTATCTTAAAGTACTCAATAACGTTCGAACACAAAATATTTCGTCTAATCAAGACTTGACTGTTCAATTTATTAATGTAATACACAATTAATTCATTGAAGAAATGGATTAAATCTTCTTTTTGCCTTTCATGCGATTGCCTTTCAATCGCTTGTCGGGTCTTATCACAAGGAAGAATTGTGACGAATAAAACTTCAAGAATTATTGTATTTAAACTAATTGTTCGCGAAAACTAATCAACGACCATTTTTCAAGAAAACAAAAGATGAGACGCAACGTTAATATTCAAATCGTCCATAGGATAATGAAATTCTGAAAAACTGATGTTAATATTTAATATTAAATACGTGTCCATAAGTAGTTTAAAACTATCATATGAATTTCAGTGAGAAATCCATTTGATTCATGTGAAAAGTTGCATCCAGGCGGACATTAGGTGAAAAAATCAAAACCGACTTTTAAACGATTCAGACAGTGAACAATACACTTCAAGATATGCTCTATCCGATGGCATAAAAAATTTTGTTATAAAGTTCAAGCGAAGTGGAAAACCAACTACTTAAAAACTAGTCTGAAAATAGCGTCATGCATAGAAAAATTGATTTTACGCAAAAACGAAGACTCCAGTAATCGAATGAGTTGTCAGTTATGAATCTCCAGATCATTTGGTATGCATTAGTAAAAAATATTTTGAGTCTGAATGGGAGATTGCTGAGCAAAAGAACAAAAGTTTTTCCTAAGTGGTTTTCCGAACTGCTAGTTAACTGCTAGTTTCAGTGAAATTTGCGCGCCCTCCACAGCCCAACTTCAAATTTGTCCAAAATTCTACAGAATGTTCTTCTACATGCCCTCTATCAGCACAGTTAGCACAAACGTTTCTAGAGTTAGATATGGGTTTTCCAGAAACCTTAGCTTTTCCAGATATTTTTCATTTATCTCGACCCAGAAATGTTCCTATTCAATAAAAATGACATATTCAGAATCACCGCAAGAAATTGCATCGAATGGTGTGCAATTAGTAGGTTTTTCTTAGCAAAAACTTGTTGGATCTAACGAAACGCTCAAGTCGACGCATAGGGTGGACAACAACGAACTGGGAGACAATGCTAATCATTTGATTAAGAAATATTTAAATGACTTTATTCTTTTAGACCTCTCGAAGATTGACTATATAAGTTAGTCCTTTTCTAAACTCAATAGCTGGAAAACCTACAATATATTTTTGTTTTAGAAAATTCTTCGTCATGTGCAATTATGTATAACGAATGTAAATATCAATAGAAATAAACACATTATTACTCCCGTGTAAAATTAGTTTTGCACACTACTTCTGTATCTTGTTAAAGGTCTGAACGTCTCTGTAAAATCACGTTTGTATCGTAAGATCAAGTAAATATTGGCAATTGAGGAAATATTTGAACAATCTCTTGCTAGATAGATCCATTATTATTTCTCAACAAAGTCCTTCTTTAGGTTTTCTCATTATAAGAAAGTCTTAATTACACACTTTTTCCATTAAGAGAAACAATAAATTGTGTTTATAGATTAACTTTAATAAAAAATTTATTCTTAAAAGTTATTCTGAATCAATATGTAGTTATATATTGACTCATTCATTTAATAATATCCCAGCAGAAAATTTAGGATAAAGAAATAAAAACATTGTTTTTCAACAGTTTTTTTCTTTTTTTGTGTACATAAGTGTTTCATTGACCTCGATAAAAACTAGATAATTTAAAAGCACATACTCACACACAAATTGTTAGACAAACAAAAAACAATTAACCGGCATGCACACATGATATGAGAGAGAAAGAGAGAGTCAGTGGCACTAGCAAACCAAAAATGTTTATTTTATACAACAAAAAATAAAGTTAATTCTGACATTATCTAGAGAGTAATGAAAAATTATATTGTTGAATAAGGCTAAGATTATATTTTGTCAATAAAATGATAGCACGATCAGATCCATTATTAATTATGACACATTTATCAGATATAATGAAATTAAAGTATATTCTACAGATTGTTTTTACATGTTGTTCATATTTCAGGATACTGTAGAAAAGAAACATCCATAATTTTGTATTTTGTATATTTTTTATTTATCTGTTCCATTTGACATTGTTGTTGTATTACCCCATATTTCATCAGTATGTAGTTCTAATGTTTGTAGACCCTCTAAATTTTGTATTTGTTTAATATAAAAAAGTAGATCACGTGTTAATAGACCATGTTGTGGTCCACCATCATTGACAATTTTTAATTGTTTTAAACGTTTTGCTAATAGTCTTTTAAATATTTGATTTAAACATGTAAACAAGTATTGAAGATCAGCATGTGATACAATTAAATTAATAGCATTATAAAATGAGAGTATATGACGAGTAGTTAATGTACGAAAACAATCGGATGGTACGGGTGCACGTACTTCATATGTCGATAATGTTTCATCAAATGTTTGTTCAATTATTGTGAGAAGCTTTTGATGAATTTCATGAATATGATCATTGTAGAGTTTTGTTAATTGTTCAAATTGTTTATTTGATGATAAAAATGAAATTGTTGATGATGAGTGAGAAGAAGGCATAGTTAATTCATTATTAGTCGATAACTAAAACAACATACAAAACATGTAACGTGAACAATTAAAAATCCAATGAGAATAAAAATTTTGGAAGTTCTACTTTCAATATTTACCATCTAACTAGATAGTTATTTCTAATTAACAGCAGTTCTTCGAGTGCCTTATTTCTACTAGCTTAATAGTCATTAGTATGTCTGACTTATTACTTATTACTCTATGTTAACAAGTTACTATCGATAACATAGTAATAATATATAATATTAATTTAGATGAAAACTTTACAAAATTTTGTTGTCTATCATCTTACTTGTTGTAATGTATCAAAATGTTGTTTAATTTTAGGTAAAAAATATTGAATAAATTGTAAACATCTACTTGTTAGAGCAAGAATTTTTGCCGATATTGTTTTTATTTTTCCAAGTTTTACAGCTCCAGCGCCCAATACAAGTTGACATGTTTTCGAATTAAATATATTTAAAATTTCAATGAGACGATGTTGTATGTCACTAATGACATACTTTGGTGTATGTGTATATAAAATAGTACTACATTGACAATAGTCAATAATAATTGTAAATAATTTTAGACCACAATTTGGTAATAGAAATGTTTCATTTTGAATAAGAACATGTTCATTTGAAGTAGTTGAAGTTGTAGTATTAGTAGTTGTAGAAGATAATTGATCAATATTTGTAAAACCATTTAATTGAATATGATCAACTAATATCTGTAATGGACGTGGAACTTGAACTTGTTTCCATTGTTCAGTATCTAAAAAATGAGAAAATAACATATTTTTCTATAAACATGTCATTATTTATTCAGATATACCTAATATAGAATTAATTTGTTGTTTTCTTTCATCATGAAAATGTTGAATAAATTTGAGTGTTTGAGATTGTAACCATGTTCGAAATGGTTGAGAACGATAGGATAATATTGTGGATTGTTCAAATATTAATGTATACGTTTGAATTATATGAACAATTGTTGAAAAATCAGATATTGATAAACGTTCAAATAATAGAGGAGATTTTTGTTGTTGTTTTGTTGTTAAATCATTAAATAATTTAATGAGACGATCTTGTATTGAATCATAGAGTACATGCAATTGTTGAATGTATTTCGATTTTAATTGATGATATTCATCAGGTGATTTTGATTGTAAGCATTTTTGAAATATATCTAAGATTAAATTTACAAAAGAATTGATACGTTCTATTGTTAATTGACTTTCATGTAAAATATGTTCAATAATAGATTTCCATTGAGAAAAATGATAGGAATTATTGTGTGTTGGATAAGTGTAACGAAAATCAGGTGTTGAAGGAAGTGGTTGATCGGGCGAATCACTAAAAATTGATAAGTGGTAAATTGAGCATAAAGACTCGATATGATATTAAACTAATAAAAAAAAACTTTCAGCTAAACAAAATAATGCTTTTGTAGTGGTCTTTATATACTTTAATATTAGCTTTTTTTTGTATATTTTCTTTCGTTTCTTGCAATCTCGCCTACCTATACACAGAGCCGTACTCAGGGGGTGGGCACACAGAGCACGTGCCTATCCCTTGGGATTCTACTACAGTGTATATCTGATTATAATACTGGAAGACTGAAATTTTGATATGGAAATTCAGACTGGTAAATACGGAATTTTGTCTAGATGCCCATCACATACCAGAATTCTGATTACGGTCCTGCTTATACATCAAAGTTTTAGACTACTCATCATGAACAAAAGCCTTGGAATACCTCACATTTATAGTTAAACTCTAAATAATGTCAATATTCTCGTGTATGCACACAGTGCCGCATGAGACTTCTTCATTTCAAGTAAGCATAATTTCTTGTTAAAAACATATCGTTAATTACCTGTTTCTATTTTGTTTTTGTTTTGTTTCATCTAATTTCTCTCTTCTTGCTTTGTCAATTGTTTGTTGAATAAACAACTCAAATTTTGAGATAATTTCATCTAAATATTTATCATCTTTAACACGAATTAAACCAACTAATATAGCCGAAAATTTATCTTCATCAATTATATCTGTAGTGTCTATATAAGAGAGAAAGAAAAACAATGATGATATATCTATTCATTAAAATTGATTAACTAGAGAACATGTTTTTTTTTTACAAACCTCTTTTTAATTCATCTTGAAGATATTGACCAAATTCTTGTCTCATCATGCTAATAATTAAAATATTCAGTTCATTCAATTGTTGATCACAATATCTTAGACAATGTAAATCATGTAATTCTGTTTGTATAATTTCTCTCGTAACCAAAATTAAATCTAATGCACTCACATAATCACTTGTTGTTAATAATGAACGAACAGTAATTTGTGTTTGTTTTACAGTTGTTAAAGAACGTAATTTTTTTAAAATTAAATATTGATTTTGACGTTGACGCATGTAACGATAAAGTTTTAAAAGTGTTAATATAGATGTTTCATCATGCGTTGTTAGTTCTTGTCGTAATGATGAAATAGCTTGACGTGTTTGTATTAAAAATTTATGAATTTCATCATGTGATTTAACAGCATCCAAAAATATATTTGATTTTGACGATAGTTGTCGACATATTTGAACTTCAATTTCATCTAAATAATGAGTATATTTATCTTGTAGTACACGACTAGTTGATGATATTGATTGTTTTTGATGATGTTGACTTAAATAGAAACGAAGAATAAAAAATGCCTTTAAAAGATAGTTTATTAGATTCTATCTATTTTTACTTTGTTGTTATCGTCGTTCCATTGGATGTTACTGATGAACGATTATTTGATGTTGATTTTTTTGTTGGTGTAGTTGCAGTGGATGTTTCTGATGTGTTACTACTTGTAGATGTTGTACGAGATTTTTGTTGTTGTGGTGGTGGTTGTTCAATGGGTGATAATGAACGTTGAAAGTGACCAATACCAGGAAAAACAAGATTAAATGTATTAGAATCATTGAGAGAAAAATTGGATGATAAAAATATTGTAGGAATATTGGATAAGGCTAAAGTGGCACCAGGTGGTGAAATGGTAGGATCTGACTTTCTATGTCTTGCAACTTGTTGTGGAACTGTTATTCGTGGTCGACCATATTTATCACTGTTTCTTAAACTTGTTAAATATGATTCGAAATCACTTAATGTATAATCACGTATACGCGACAAGGGCTCCGGTGACTTTTCAACAAATGTATTACCTAAAAACAGAAATCGATATAAAAGGTTAAAACAATTGAAGATTATAGTTCAAAATGTAAAACAAGAGGAAACTATTCACAATTCTATTTGTAAATGATTAACATTTGTATAATTTAGAATTTGATGTTCCTGTTGAATTTCAGCCAACTGTAAATAAAGTAGCTTGTTCAACGTTATTTATGAGATATCAGAAGCTGAATGGTAACCTACCCCATGTTTTTGTAAAAAAATTTCCCGATTCATAACGTGTTTTTTTCGGATCATTCAGTACACAGGATAAATTACAAGTAAACACGGGTTGTTGTTGTTGTTGTTGCTGTTGGTGTGCTTCGTCATCTTTTGTTCGATGATTGAATGAAGTCAATGTTGTTGTTGTTGCTGCCGTGTTGTTATTATGATTGGAATGAAATGTTGACATTATTTCCGAGGCACTAACCATAACATACTGTATATTCTATACTAATTTTTGATTATAATAGTTGATATTTCTTCTATACATTAGATTAGAATTTTTGAATAAAACATTAAAAATAATGAATGAATGAAATGTGTTCATAGAGATCTAAAATTGAAAACTGAAAAAAGAGACAAAACTCTCTACATAATTGATCCACATTTCTAGCATGATGACAGACAAGAAAAATCGATACGAATAGTTTTTAGAACTTTTCACACGTTTAAAACTGTTAAAGTTTTTTCATGGAAATTTTAAACTTTTAAAATATAATAATTCAATGCCATCTCGTTTCACTTTCGTCTATGCATGGTATAGAAAAAAATTTGCTTTTGAGCATATAAAAAATTCAGTAATTTAGATCGTTTTATAAACGTACGCACTTTATTTCTTGAAGATTTTAATTTCGTTTATATTAAATGAATTCAACATGATTCTAGTTCTTATGCGACATAGACTTTGAGTGAATTTTTCAAAAGTATGTAAATAAATAAAAAATAAATGAGCAAGATTTAAGACTGATTTCAGTAGTCTTCTTTAGTATGAAGCGCTGACAACAAAAAAAAATGAGGTATCACCAAAACTAAAAAGTTTTCTCCAAAAATTTACACAAGGTTTGCACAATTCCCATATCACTAGAACTTTTCCACCCTCACTCGTATTGCAATGTTACTATTTAATCTTCTTCCACTAATATTTAAACTATCTGACTAAATGAAATAGTTTGATAAGGTTTTACAAAAATCAAAAGCAAGTTCTACTATCATTCATTCAAACCCAATATTCACCTTTAGTGAAAAACAAACATCAAAACGTTAATTTCATTGACAAACGTACAATTCAATAGAAAAAAATTATAATCGATAAAATTTTACCTCATATTTACAATATCGAATTTAGCTTTATAGATAGAAAAACTATCTGGCATAACGTCTAGCTTTTTCGTCTAACGACAATCTCTCAAGAAAAACAATAACAACAACAATAACAAAGTATTTACAACAATGATGATATTAAATATTTGAGTTTGTATGATTACTATTTACTTGTTGTTGTGATTGTCCTCCTTGTTGCATAACCATTTGTAACTGTTGTTCATTCGGTTGCGATGATGGACGACTTGATGATGCTAATTTTGGTTTTGGTAATTTACCTAGAAGATCTTTTAATTGTTTACCATCAATTGTTTCATCATACGATTTTAAAAGTTCATATAGTTTTAATAAATGTTTAATAACATCATACAATTGTTCTAAATCAATATTATTACCTTGATCGATTAAATATTGTTTACATACGTCTAATTTTTTACAATAATGACAAGAAAGAAATAAACAAGCTAATGTAATAATATATGGTGGATATAATAGACAAACATCCGTTTTTAATGTATCATTTATTATACGCCATGTTGTCTGAAAAATATTATCATCTAATTGTAATTCTTTTGAATACATGTCTAATGAACGATATGGATGATAGATAATCAGACAACAATCCATTATTTCTAATAGATAAAATTCACATTCTAAAATGTGTTTAGCATGATAAGGATAATCGCTAAGTTGTTGAGATGAAGTTTGTCCAATACCTTCAAAGAAAACAAAAGAATTATATAGCAATAAGGTTAAAAGTTAGTCAACAAGAAAATGTTTTTTATGTCATCATTTGACATTTGATATTGCAAAACCTTCTAAGAACACGTCCGTTCTCCGAAGGTGGTGGAAGTTTGAGTTTATTTTTATAGAGAGAATCCTATGGGGAAAATGGACCTCGGAAAATGATGGGATTTACATAATCTTAATTTTTTGTTAAGAATAGGCCAGAATGTTGGTAGGTAAGGCTGTAGAAATATAGTTGTACCAGTGTTTTTGCCAGAATGCTTGCTGCTTTCAAACATTTTTCGTTTTTTTTCCCACATTTCCTGTCTATGCTGACATTTTTAATTTTTTTTTTCTCTTACTTTTTTCATTATTACTTTCCTCTTCATTTCTATTTCCTCTCATACTTCTGTGAAAACTTTCTAGGGCTTATCCGTTTTCTGAAGGAAAAGGATGAAGTTATATACGAGGATTTTTGTGGTTTCCAGGGGAGGAGGGTGTGTGTGTGTGTTCCAGTAGCTGTAAACTTTCGGGGTGAAACTGTGATTGATCAAATTCCAATATAAATTTGGTGTTTACAGCTCCTGAATCGACTAGCAACAGACAGTGCATTATTAATCTGATGTTGTTGGACACGAGTTCTAAAAGTTATTATCATATCTTTTTAGAACTTGTACTTTCTCTGTTCATATGAACAGAGAAAAGAAGCTATTAATTAGAAGTTTCTCTCGTGTGCTACTATTCTCATTTAACTTCGTTGTATTTATGCATCTTCTATGTTATAGTCCAACAATTCCATAGAAGTTTTCACATTTTGGCTTCGTAGAAGCAACTCTAACAAGCTTTTACCTTGTTGTTGTTGTTGTTGTTGTTGTGTAACTAATAAATGGTAATATTTTTTGAATGCTGTTTGAACACCGGCCATAATTCTATTATTTGATAATGTACTAAATTCCTCAACTTTTGATGCTAAAAATAGACATGTTGGTGCTAATAGAATAGGATCAATTGATTTCAATGAATATCTTGCATAAAATCGTTTAAAATAGACAATAGCTGTTGCAATGACTTGTTGTCTAACTTTCATTTGTTCACCAATTGTTTGGATAAAATTTGAATAAAATATCATTAATTTTAAATAATCATCTTCCGTTATTGAACATATTTGTAAATCACGTAAACGTATAGACATTAATTCTTGACGATCAAACAGCCATTGTTGAAACTGTGAGCTTTTCCAATAACTAGCAGCCATCTATAAAACATACAACTATAAATATAGTGAAAAATATTTATTCATATCTCTAAACAATAGAAGCTACTATGCGAGTTATTTTACAGAATTAAAATTTGAATAGATGTATATATATATATATTTAAATCTAATACAAAAAAATATGATTATTGCACACTTAAATTCGTTTCATTCGATGTAAGATCACATTACTTGTTCATATATTATGCAAAAGCATACACAGAAAATATTGAATGACTAGATTAAAACCAATGATAATAAATAGAACTGAGATATATACGAGAGGGAGAACACAGTTAGAAAAATTTTGAACAAAAAACAAGAATTACCATAATTAAACGGTATAATTTGTGTTACAATAATAGTCATTGAAATTATCAACGTAAATAATGAGACATTCATTTTACGATGGAAAAAGTCTTGACAAAAAAATGTCGAGCATTATTTCTGTGTGTCTTTGATGAAGTACTTATTTTTCTGTTGAAAAGTGAAAAGTCTGAACTTCAAAAAAATGTAGAAAACAGAATTTTTTATGGTTGAATTTGAATGAGAAAAAATTAAAATATCAAACATTACCAAAATAAGCTCTTGCAACTTCTGAAACATATTTTGCTTATCAAACGTTCTTTTTTCCCTTCAACAGAATACATTTAAGATTATGTAATTATAGAAACTAGACATGTTTTTATTTCTCTTTTAAATGGGACATGATAAATTATATTTCGATTCCTTTTTTTTAACCAGAAATTCACAACTTTTTTATTAGTAATTCGATAGTTATTAGTTAGAAACACAGTTAAGTAGACTTAATTAATCATTTCTAGATACTGAAAGGACGTCGTCCTTTAGCTAAAACACATTTTCTGGAATAGCCTTCAATTTTTTAAAAACTTATACTAATTTTAATCTTTACTAACATCGTTTGAGTCTTGAATAACCAGATTTTCTCGATGTTCTGTCTTTCTCCTGTAAAGTGGTGCTTTTTTTCTACCCAAACTTATTTATAATACGTTTTTTTTCTTCTCTCTATTAAGAAATTACTGATAGATTTTCGAAAGTAGGAGGATCGATAGAGTTTTCCACCACCTACATTCTCATCTCTTTGGCTTTCAGAGAAGCTTTTTTCTTCAGGCTCTAGTGGAAAAATAAAGAAAAAAATACGTTACAAGGGCTTTTTTGGATGATACTTTGATATTTAAATTTTTTTTCATTCAACCATAAAAAATTTTGTTTTCTACATGTTTTGAAGTTCAGACTTTTCACTTTTCAACGGAAAGATAAATCACTCATCAGCATATCGAAAACAGAAATAATACTCGACATTTTTTTATCAAGACTTTTTGCATTGTAGGATAACACTTATATAGTTACACATAAAACAAGAGTTTATCTGGTTTTTTTTCAAAATCTATCACCTTGGTAGGACTAGAATAAGATATTGACTACAAAAAAGCCAAAAATCTGAAATTAAATGGAATATCAATCAAAATTAAAAGAAAAAAAATATCACCTTTAAACATACACAACTTATATGCGCAGAGCAAACTTTCACAAACGTTTTATTATTATTTTTCCATGTAAAAGGCAATTTCATTTCACGATAAAATATTATTACCAAACGATAAAATTCTTAATTTCTAGTGAGTGATGCAGAAGGTAAGAAAATCTATTAGTCATCTTTTGGACTACTAGTAACTGTTCATACAACAATTATTCATCAAATATTAAGAAACAATTTACTCACTCAATATTTACAAAAACTCTCGGCTAGATTATATTTAATGAACGTAGATAAAATTAAAATTTCTATGAGAGACTATCGCTGTGAAACTCAACAACTTTATCTTCCACTGACTGTTCTTATTTGTGACAGAAATGAATATTAGATTTAGTTCTCTGGGAACATACACGGGAAAAAGATCTGTATTAGAAAAAAAAGTGTAGTTTTCTAAAGAAAACAAGATTTAGACTCGAACAGAACTGAACTATTACTTTGTTAAAATTTTCTTATTTTAGATTTATACATGATAAGGTTCCTTATGAGTTTATAGTGCAATAGTATGCAGATGCAAAAAAAGCCAGAAATGATTGTTTAACTACCAAAGCGAATGTTTATCCTACTATTCAGTTTTTTCAAACATACCCTCTCCCATACACAGAAAATGATGTTAAGTTCACTATTTCTGCAACTTAAATATGTTGATTTAATAATTTTTTGTACTCAGCTAATTTTTCTTGACATTGCATTGGTGTTAGCATATTTAAATTTAACGATTTTAAATCAGTGACAATTGTTGTTTCAACTGTGATTAATTTTTCTGATTTTTTTGTTTGAAATGTCCATCGTAAACCACGTCCTTGAAAATTTAAAAATTGTACTTCGTATCGTGTCTCTGATTTGAATCCATTTACTGGTAAATATTGTTTTTTCAATAATTTATTTAATGATGAATGATTTTTTGCTCCATAAAGAAAACCAACATGTTCTAAATCAACATAGGCACATTGTTCTTCAAATATTAATATTACCGATTCATTCTTTACTTCATATATTTTTAATGTAGCACATAATTCAATATCATCAACTAAAAACCATCCACTTGTTGAACCAAGACACGGTGTACACGAAAATAATAGGGGTAAATCAAATATCATTTCAATAGGTTTAGAAGGATTCCATTTATCCTTGCATTCTAATAATTTATAATCAGTATTTATGAAATTCGTTGCCATACATTTATGTTGAAACACAGGTCGTTGATTTATTTGTATACCATGTGCTAAAAGGACTTGTCCACCAGTTGGTCCCGGTTTACTTGCACTTTTTTCTGTGAGAGTCATATCAATTGTTGAACGATTGAATATTTTATAATCGTATAATGTCAATTGATTTTTATCCAATATTTTTGTGCCAAATATGAGACATTGATAATCACATGGAATACCTTCTCGTTGTTTTAATAGTTTTTTTAATTGTTCAATGGTTGTTGTCGATGCATCCAAATCAAATGTTAATATACGATCCGTGAGAGATCGAATAAAGAGCTGCATGAGCAATCTGAAATCAAAACAAAAAATGAATTCGTATAAGTTCAGTTTTATATATCCAATTTCATTAGCCGAAACAGCTACATATTGTGCTTTCTATTCTCTAATACACGGATGTATAAGTTAAAAAAAGAAAACAACCAACCATCGTCGTCTCTTGTTTACTGTTTTTAAATATATGTCGATCATATAAAATCGAGTTCACCATATAGAAAAATACTTTTGAATAAAAAATATATACAAAGAAAATATATGTATAAGAGATAAAGAAAACAAGACCAACATAGTTCATCTTGTGAGCTATACTTTCATTCAACGAGAATGATAATAGGAAAAAATCTAAAAAAGTATTTTTTTCTCTAAATTACAATGAATATTTAGAAGATGCCTGATGAAGGAAAAAAACTGTTTTATCACATTATGCTTGTTAGTTTGTCATTTATTCGTAGAATAACCTTTGGATGCTAATTCTTCACGAACGCGATGTAAATATGTTGGATCTGGATATCCAAAACTAAAACAAATAACAACAAATTACAAAGTTTTGTATTAATAAGAGCAATAAAATTTTACAAAATTCTTGGAGCTTTAGAAGTATGATGTTAATAGAAGAAGACACTCATCTCCTAACACTGCTGCAGTGAAAACCGTGTACTGTCTAATATACATACTTTTCAGGTCCTCCATGTGGTGATGTTTTATGATGAATGTCATTCCACGTTACTACATTATCTTGTCCTGTGGTCATAGATTTTCCTATTGTAAATATATGGCCGTCATCAAATGCCTGCTGTAATAACTGCAAAATGTCTTGACCTTCTTTGTTATTCGGTAAATAAGCTTGACGAGATGTTCCAATATATCGTTGTCCAGGATTCGGATTTAAGGGCTAAATATAAACAACATGGACGAATATCAAGAAACTATTTTCAATATTCTTCTAATATATACTCCTTGTGTTCCACTTGGTATTTTATAATAGATGCTTATTGTCCCTTGTGATATACCTTCATAACCTGGCAGTATTATTGGCAAAAAGTTAACTTGTATTGTACCATTCAGCGGCTGTGGACCTGTGCATAGACGTTACTTAATGTCAAATCATATTGTTAAACTTAGATTCGACTTGCCTCTTTTCACTCCGTAGATATGTCCACAGGATGGACAGGCCATCTTTGTATTAAACCATGTTTGAATACAGTCATGATGAAAACAATGCTTACACTGTTCTAATACGCGAAAATTTGTGCCTAAGTCGTCCATACATATCATACAATCGTTGCAAACAACATCATCATGAATCACCGATGTCACATTTGGAGGATTTGCGGTTTCTGGTAAATCAACGTCCATCGGTTCAGCCACTTGTAATTTATCATTCTCTTCGAATGCTTTGCTTGCCCAAGTACTAACTGTATAAAGTGTTCGTATTGCTGGACCTAAACATGCCTGTGATGGTATACTATCACTGAATTTCAGTAAATTTTTAAAATCACAAAGATAGCATGCTTTCATCTGACATAACTGGCATATACGATGCTCGCCTTGACACTTATTAGTTTGTTTGTTTAAAACTGTACAGCACACAGGACAAATATTTTTAGTCATTACGTAAGACGAAGCATTTTTATACCAGCATAAGAGACATAATGACTTATTCCCGGTATAGTATTCTAAACATCGCCTATAAACATATGGATCTAGTTGAGAATCGTTATTTTTTGAACAACGCTTACATAATAATTGTTGGCTCATATTTTGAATCAAAAATCTAAAGTAATCGTTGAACAAGTTAAATAGAGTTGTTTACAATATTTCTATCTCATATTTTCTTAATATCAAGGTTAAAAAATTTTTGAATGATTTCTGTATTTATGTCAACTTTCAGAACGATTCTGCTTTAGACTCTGATACATCGAGAATATTCTAAAAACACTAGAGAAAGAGAAGATTTACTTTTACAACCGAGAGATTTATTGAAATGTTTAGAAATTTTTTCTAATCCAAAAAAATACCAACTGCAAAAATCAATCACCATTGCTTGCTGTTACAGTTTTAGACAAAATAAAGCAGAGTCCAAAGGAAAGTCCAAGAATCAAAACAAACATAAGTTTTTAGATATTTTAAGTAGATAATTATCCGAAAAAGAAAACTAAATAATATATTAAGAACAAAAACTAAAGTCTAAAAAGAAATAAAACAAGAAACACATAGAATTCTTTAGCAGCAGAGAAAGAGACGTGTAAGAACAAAATCTAGAATTTCTGCTAAAATGAGCATATGCTATGAGAATTTATACAGAAGAGTTCTACCATTATCGTTAACAAGTCTAGATGAAAAATAAAGACATGCATACATAATAATGAAAGAAAAACGTACTGTTAGCTGTATATCACAGATAAGAAAAAAGGAAATTAACGCATTTCAAATGAAAGGAAAAAGTCAAAGAGAGAAATTTATTTTCAGATACATTAATTAAAAGGCGAATATCGTCGACTAGAATGTGTTAAGTTTTGACGCGTTCGAGCAGAAGATCGAACTGGACCAGGTGCTGAGCGAAGTGATTCTACAAGAGAAAAATAAACACCAACTGATACCAGACGTGGTGATTAAACTTTAACACAAGGCTTACTTTGTTCTGATATATTATAGACGTGTCGACAGCAAGGACCTACAGTAGAAGAAACAAAACAACCAATATAAATGAAACAGTTTCGCGTTGCCAACTACTCACATGTTGTCTTTTGTTGAAACCATTTTTCAATACAACTTTCATGAAATTGATGCCTACAATGCGGTAGCGTTGTGAATTTAAGTTCCAATTCTTCCATGCATATTATACAGACGGGTTTCAATTCTTCTTCAGCACTATATTTTTCTTCAAATAGTTTAACGTATGTTTGAAGTGTGTATAAAATATGCTGAACATTTGGCTCATGGTATCGATAGGGAATCTTAAAAAAGTTTTGATTATCTGACGAGTGGGCTGTTGAATTTTTATATAAACATAGAATACATTCATCCTTGCTGCAATTTGAACATAGAGAATGACCACAATCGTCAGTTTTAGGCGATATACTGAGTGAACACGCACACGCTGAGCAAATACATTGCGATTGGATATAGTTGACCGAATAATCATACCAACAACATGGGCCTAAAAAGAAAATAGACAGGCAAATAACAAAATTGTTTAATAGCCTCACGTAACATCGTTTACGATATTATTTGAAGACATTTGTTCTTCTAACAGTAAAAACAGTTACTTACAATTTGTTTTACAAGCGTGATCCGATAGCCGACAATTTTTACAACATTTATGCTTTTTGCATGTCTCAACGCCGGATTCTAACTGATATTTCTTATCCGACGTTGGACTATTACACCACTCACAACAGCCTGCCAACATACTAACTGCTATAACACATTAAAACTTTGACTTTATTCATTCTTTATCAAGTTTGGTAACTCAAACCGTTAAACAAAAGAAATTGGATGCGAGATTAATCAACGGTTTTTCAAACGTTCCTGTCATGGTCAACATAACACAATAAAATGGGTGTGACGATGCTTAATCAGTGTGAACCCGATACAAGTAGTGCATTTGGCAACCAATTAAAGTGCCAAATATCCAGCGTATAGATGTCACTAGTCGCTTCAAATAGAGACTATGTATTATGATAAATTTTAAATCTTGTGGAGACGTAAAATTATTTGATATTCCTGTTTGTACTGTCATCCGTAGAATTTCACACTTCAAGTGTGGTAGAATACGAAGCCTGATTAACTTTAAACATGGGTTGTTCTTTCGAAACTGTTGGGATAAAGTCGATGTATTACATCGACTTTATCCCAATAGTTCGAGAGTAACAGGGCTAGTACAATTCGATCTCCTAATGACGAATATCACGTTTAAAACATTTTAAAACAACGGCATCATGGTCTTCTAGACCTGTGGGGGTCCCATTTTCCGGCAGATAGATCTTTCTGAGCATTTTCATCACTTTTTAGCGAAACATTTTGATGGGCTGGTATCGTCAGGTTACAATTTAAAAGCACCGCAAAATCCCTAACGGACAAAAAGTTCCAAAATGTTAAGCACGTCCTCAGGAGAATTTTTAATAAAATCGTTTTTTCCGAAAAGTAGGCCTGTTTTAGCATGCATCTTTTCAAGCTCTGTTCGATGAAGTGATTCTCATTGATACTAAAAGTCATCTAATGATAGAATAAAACAACTTTTAAAAGCGATTTTCCTCGTTTTTCAAAGTTTGAGTGCGTGTTGCACCATTCCACGGGATTGTAGAACGTGGGATGACATATATTTCGCATGTACTCGACGTGCGCTATTGAAAAACAGGTT